ATTCGCCTTAACCTTTCTTATAATAGTATTGGCTCCTATATTATGATGTGTTTGTACATGACCATCAACTAAGGGGACAATTTGCAATTAAATGTCACTCCTAGTATCCTTCAGGAAAATATCCGATAAATGTATCGATTCTACCATAACTTCCTTTTTTAAAGGCGAAGTTTAAACCATTTACTAGGACCTCAGTAGAAATTTCCAATGAAACTGTGGACATATTTATCACTTGGCAGCGGCTTCCTTACCCTTCAATTAATTAGACGTGAGTCATTTCCTTGAGCTAATTCATATGTCCACATTTCTTATCATGGGTCTTTCTATCATGCAAACTATCCGCTATATTATAGAAATAAGGAAGTCTTGCAAACTAAGAGCCTCGGACAATGTTTGCCTAAGTCTAGTCTTAGTTCAACTTAACAACTGTAGCTTTGCAGTGTTTTCCTTAAGTCTAATATAAACCGAATCATGATATACGCCTAAAAGATCAGTCTCAGTCCCAAGGTGAATTAGGTATAGAAATAATGCAAAAACCAAGCATAATTCCACGGACAGAGCAAACTTTATATTCCATGAAGTATGGATACCCGCTCCGATGATGTATGTCAAAGTACAGACGAAATCTTAATACAGCTTCGTGGTTGCAGGGCGGTTAACCGATGACTTCTTAGCACAATACAACAGTGTTGCCTGCGTTGCAATCATCCTTCGGTTTCCGGTGAGACTACACCATGAATCCCATCACAGCATTCGACATATAAATATTTTTGGCATGTAATATGCTTAGTGCACCCTACCCCATGCAAATTAATCACTACATTCCCTCGTCTTATCATTCCTACTGGTAAGACAGACCCAAGAAATTATAATAAAGGAAAGTCTGATAAATTCGTGCATTTTCCGTATGATACCTATCTATATTAATTGTTGAGCTTACTTCCATTTCGAGTGAAAGTATTGGGTGAAGAGATTCGAAGGTCGGTTCCACCAGAAGACGACGGATTCCTCTTGACCAGCTGTCGATTGGCTTTAGTGGAAGATTCATGCTGGCGCTGTTTCCGAGGTAAAGGTGAAAAGATGCTAACCTTTCGCCATATGACGGATAGCATCGGGTGATCCAAATGAAGTATTGAGCCGAGGAATAAGCCCACGATAGAACATTTATAGCAATTATACACCAAACTATATTCTGGAAATAACCAATTTCTCACAAACCCATCAAGAACATAATCATAGCAATGGACAGATGCGTGAGAAGGCCAGGTCGATATTTTCAAGTTTTCTTAGCATAGACCCGTTAGCTGACCTCTGAATTTTGGTTAGGTCTGGTAGAACAAACGAAAATGGCTTAGCCTACATTGAGCCTATGCATTAGCCGAATCCACTTTAAGTTTATCCATTTCCTAATGGGAGTCAATGTGGCACAATGTCAGACCATGCAGAAGTTCACACAAACAAAAATGAGCAGGATTAAGCGACATAAAATTGTGCAAATAGAACAGACAATGGATATTGAGATGGATGGATAGCGAGTACAGCCCAAGCTAGATAAACCTCAAGCGATGGAGATACGAAATGCATAATCAACAGAATAAACCGGACTCGTGAAAACCTAGGAGCGACTAACGCAGAAGCAGCACCGTCAACAAGTAACGAAATTCCTTGTAAATAGGGAAAAATTACTCAAAATCAGGGAAGACTAACACACGGTAGAAATAGGCTTATTCGGTGAAAATTAGCTGCGTAAAGAAGCGTTGACCACGCCAAAAGGATAAAACTCACCTTTCCCGCTTAACTAATTGACACAAGACGATAGCATCTCCGAACCCGTCTTCCAAATTTTATACTCGGAGGATGGAAATAATGTTTAACTCTAAGATATGGAAACAATGTAAAGATATCAGATTTTGCTCAGGCGAGTGCCTTCAAATTTCTGAATGGCAAGATAATCGAAAGAAAAAAGGCCACAATGCATCGTCGAAATTTCACGCTTCGGTTCAGTGGAAATTAAGAGGTTATCAAATAGACAAGCCTCCAACCTTATTCACAAAAGCAGAGCGAAGATGTGCAAAGTACCTTGGTAATCACTAGTACATTTATAAGAGTAAGAAATCTTAAAACTGTGAGATAAGCGAGGATGCTATTAGCCAACGATCTTGTTTATTGGATGGCTACAGATCTTAAGAGCCAACTTAAAAAAACGAAGGTAGCAAAGCGAAGTCTAGTTTGGAGTCGAGTAGGACTATATGAGCTACCAACCAGAAGGAAGATATCAAGCGAAGCCAGTCCAGCACCAATATTTATTGCAGATTAACGCGCGATACGTTTAGCACGGATGCGGCGGTCCCTTTCCTCAAGGATGGAGAGCCTGACTCCAGCGCCCCTAGGGAGAGAAACCCAGGGTTTATTGGCTCGTCCAATTGTGAAGATATTGTTCAACCGAGTGACGAACTGATGGCCAGCCTTATCGCGAACATGAACCATCTCCACTGAGCCGGGATGACGTTCCCACTGTGTAATGATGCCAACACGTCCCAAATTATGTCCTCCAGTCACCATGCAAATATTACCTAAAGGTAAAAACATTAGCATATATTTACCGAGCAAGGAATTGATTACTTACCTGGTTCAAATTTGATATGGCCCAACACCTTGCCTGTAGCCAAATCAACTTGGATCGTATCATTAGCCTTGATTTCAGGATCAGGGTAGCGTATAGTTCTGGCATCATGAGTTACCAAAAAAGGTACACCGCCGCTGCCCGTGATAACCTTTCGTACCTTACAGAGTTTATATTTTGCTTCGTCAGGATGTATCCTGTGAATGGCAAAACGACCTTTAACATCATAAATAAGCCTAAAGTTCTCGCCAGTCTTTTCAATGGTGATAACATCCATTAAGCCAGAAGGATAGGTTCTATCCGTACGCACTTTGCCATCAACCTTAATAAGTCGCTGGGCGAGTATTTTAGTGCACTCATTATAAGTTAATGCGTATTTAAGCCTATTTCGCAGGAATATGCAAAGTGGCAAGCATTCCCGCAATTTATGCGGGCCAGTGCTTGGTCGGGGAGCATAGCAGCCACCCAGCTTATCTAGCATCCAATGCTTAGGAGCATTGAGACGCTTTAAATGTTTTCTGGGGCCCCGGACCTTTAAAAAAAAGAAAACGTGATGATAGGAGTCGAAAATAAAATATTATGGAATATGCGGCAGAACTTACACCCATGTCGGCTAGGTTGTAAGAACGACGGGAAAATGAAACGAGAGGTAAAACAATAAATACAGAAACTTAAAATTTAATTGACTAAATAAAAACTATTAACAATTAATTTTATTCCAAAACATTGCTATTTTTTAAAAAGCCAAGTTTACTAAGGGGTAGAAATTGATTCACTGTTTCAAGATTTATACCACTTGTGGCGCTTGTAAAGCTAACTATTCAGTTAAATATACACTCATTATTTAATTTATTTATTCTGCCATAAAAATAAATTTTCAATATATGCCAACGATTTTGCATGTTTCGTCACTACATCTTGATTGTCTTGTCTATTCGGATTTTGCAATATTTGTTGATGAGTATACATAGCTTTGCACAAAATACCATAATTCTTTATTTACATCTAAATATTTTAAAGGAAAATATTTTACAAACTAAATTGAAGCACCCTAAGATAGTTTTCGTGACGC